GCCATGGTGATGATCAAGTGCTTGGACTTGAAAAGAAGAAAGAGAAAAATGAAAGGCTCAAGGCAAAGGTATAAGTGGTAGGAGCCATTTCATTTTGGTGATCAAGACACTTAGCGAGTGTGATCACATTTAGGTTTGATAGCCGTACTATTAAGAGGGGTGAAACTCGTATCGAAATGCGGTTATCAAAGTGCGACTAGATGATCTAACTCATTGCATATGCATTTAGGATCTAGTAAAGTGCTAACACCCTTGAAAACATTTGTGAAAATATGCTAACACATGTGCACAAGGTGATACACTTGATGGTTGGCACATTTGAGCGAGGGTTAGAAACTTCACCGGTGGAGTGTCCGCTCGTAGAGTGCGGACAGTCTGATGGTGCCATCGGTGCCCTGTACAGAAAAGACAGGGTTTCACAGAGTGCACCGGACGCTGGTCTCAACTAGACCAGAGCGTCCGGTCAGTGGAAGCAGTTAAGACGCCAGCGTCGGTCTTCGACTGGACGCTGGGTCACTTCATGACCGGACGCTGGTTGACTGCGTTCGGTCCCGCTAATGTGGCAGTGCACAGAGAAGACATTGAGTGACCGGACGCTGGGCGAGTCTGGTCAGACGTGACCGGACGCATCCAGTCGTGAATTTCCACCTCTGGAAGCTTACTGGAAGTGACTGAACACTGGAGTCCTACATCCGGTCGTGATCAACTGGACGTGTCCGGTCGTGAGTGGAACCTTACTAGAAACGACTGGATGCTGGTGTTGGTGCGTCCGGTCACTTTGAGCAACGCGTCCGGTCACAACTTAAATGTACTGATGACCATTGAGATCAGGCTATCAACGTTTGAAGCAGGGGACACGTGGCGTGCATCGCGCGACCGGGCGCTGGGGTCCTGCGTCTGATCGATCTGACCGGCGCGTCCGGTCGCCCTGACTTTTTAGGGTACAGAGAGTCAACGGCTCTATTCATGGGGGCTCTCTATTTAAGCCCCATTGCCCGCTCTTGCTCACTCTCTTGGCCATTTGCATTGACATAGCGACCTTGTGAGCTTAGCCAAAGCCCTCCCACTCATCTCCATCATAGATTCAACATCTTTGTGAGATTGGGAGTGTGTCCAAGTGCATTGCTTGAGTGTTTGCATCTAGAGGCACTTGGTGTTCGTGTTTTGCTACGGGATTCGCTTGTTACTCTTGGTGGTTGCTGCCACCTAGATGACTTGGAGCAGTGAGGATCGTCGAGCAGAGGTTGGTGATTGTCTCCGGCTTCGATCGTGGTGATTGTGAGGGGTTCTTGACCTTTTCCCGGTGGAGAGACAACAGGTGCTCTAGTAAATTACTCGTGGCTTGTGTGATCCTCATCTTGTGTTGGTTGTGCGGCACCCTATTGAGGGTTTGGCGTGTGATGCCAATTATCCCTTGAACCTCCAAGTGAGTGAATCGTCACAACGAGGACTAGCTTACCGGCAAGCAAGTGAACCTCGGTAAAAAATCATTGTGTCATCATTTGACTCTGAGGTGATTGGCTTTCATTCTTGTTATTGATTGGTTCATTCCTCGACATGGTGGTATAACTATCTTGCTCTCTCTCTTTACATTACCGCAAACTAGTTATCAAGCTCTTTAGTGTAGCTAGTTGTGAGAGGTTGTTAGTGTAGCTCTTTAGTTAGCCTTTGAGAGCGCACTAACTTAGTGTAGTGCCATAGCCATTGTGTGGTTAGAAACAATAGAAACTAGAATTGTGGTAGGTGGCTTGCATTTTTTTGTAGGCTAGCGCAACACTTGCTTCGCCTCATAATTGTCTAACCGGTTTGTTAAGTGTTGTTGTAGAATTTTTTAATAGGCTATTCACCCCCCTCTAGCCATTAGGAGCTTACATTATGCCACCCTACAAAAGCTTGGAGTCAAGGATCATCCCGAGTATGAGGGCCGTGAGTATGAAAAGCGTGGCACTGAGCGGTGTGAAGTTACCATCTACATTGGGAAGAGTGAGGAGTTCCCCAACATCACTGAAGCCTGGAATGTGACCGCAACCGGGTTTCGCTTCGTCGACACCTACCAGGTTGTGGCCCACAAAGCCTTACGGTATCTTTCCTAGATCTATGAAGAGCCCATTGCTTGTACCCCCATGAGGTTCTTTCCACCTTTAGAAAAGAATTGGTGGGCATAGAGGGCTCGCATGGAGGCTTTGCAAGGGCGGGATGCGCAAGAAGACAGTCCAACCCTAGTGCACTTGACCACGTACCTGCTTGCTCTGAATGAGCAGTATGACCAGCAAGTCTCGGAGCAGAGGAAGTGCCTCTGGCGAGTCGAGGAAGCCGAGATCTTCTCTAGGATGTGCCAGGTGCAGCTTGCCAAAGCGCATGCCAGTGCGGTACCCATAGAGAGTTGGGAGACTGCCATGTTGGAAGCTCTAAAGGAGGCTAAAGATCGGCATGCCCATAAGTTGGGAGAGGTTTACCTTATCACCAGGGCCAACCGTAGGACGCTGGCCGTTGAAAGGCAGGATTCCATGATTGTGGAAGGAATTCTTGTCCACCCGCCAGAAAGAAGGAGAACCGGTGTTGCAGTGCCGCCAGCACCCCCACCATCGGAAGTGTCAGATGTAGAGCCCTTGCTTCCCCTCACTCACCCCCTTCCAAGAAAGGAGACAGATCCATAGCCAGGGCGGTAGAAGAATCCGCCGAGCCCGAGAATGAAGATGTGTGGTCCAGCAAAGTAGATTAGTTGCCTTGGGATGATGTACCCGTAATTAGTAGTGTCTTTCGTCGCTGTCCTTCAGTATTGTAATCTTTTCGTTGTATTTTGTCCGTAGTTGTTGAGATCATCCGGTCGTAGGGAAGGTGAATGATGTGTTGACAATGGGATAGTGAGTGCATGTATGTTGTACCAGCATAAGGACGTTTGAAATGTGCATTTTATTATTTTGTTGTGTTTATTGCGTCCATCTACCCTTAAGTCTCGTTAGACATGCTTACGGTTTTCAAAGACGATGTTAAGTGGGTTACAAGAGAAGTTACCATTAAGATGCCAGCAGACCAGCCATGATTAGATAACATAGGATACTGTATCGGCTAATTGTGGATGTCCCAGCAGAACACTTGAATCATTTTAAATCAAATCCGTTGTTGGATTGAATTCCTTGTCCCTTATTGTGAAAGAAACCCTTGTTGTTCGAATCTTCCCTTGCAATACTCCTCTAATTCTGTGGTCTATGACCCCATTGCCTTCATTGCGTGTAAGTTGGTAGTAGTTGCCTGGTTAATAGCTTATGGTGCCGCGACAAAACCGAGGGCCCCTGTGGAACAGCTGCCACAGGGTGACGCTGCTTGCACTACACCATGACACACATTTGCCTACACTTATGTGTTGGCAAAAGGCAGGTTTGGACGACATATTATGTGTTGGCAATTGTATATTGTTTTAATGTCTAATCATCTGTCGGCAATAAGACTGTAAGACTACAAATTATCTGTCGGTGTTTCTCTGGTGACAGAAAAAGTGTCGGCAAAAATTAGAAGACTTAGAAAGTGTCGGCGTAGCCTATACAGGGCAACTGTGCAAGTGTCGGCCAAGGAGTACCCGCGCTGGGTAAAAATATCTCATCCCCTCCTCTCTCTCTCTCTCTCCCCCTTTCTGTCTCTTCCTTTCTCAGCCATAGCGCTCTCTCTCCCTCCCCTCCTGACGCGGCCACGGCGGCGCCACCGCACCTCGGCAGCGCCGGCCCTCGATGCAGCGGCGGCTGCCCTCCTCCTCCTCCTCCTTCTCCACACCCTCCTCATGCCTCGTGGCCACGCGGGCCGACGGCGCCCCCCGCCGGGTGTTGCGCCAGTGCGGAGGGTGGCCGCCCTGGCCACGGTCGACAGCGCCCCCTCCTCGGCGACGCGCCTGGGGCCCGCCGGTTGTTGCCGGCGCGGGTGCCACCCGGCGCTGCCTCCTTCCACCGATCCGCATGTGCTACTATGGTCGATGAAACCCTAGCTGCCTCATCTCAATGACGCCGGATGCATCGCTAGCCACGACCGGCGCAGGCCGGTCGACCAAGCCTGTGCGTGGCCTCGTCATCGCCGGCGGCAGTGGCGCCTGACCTTGCCTGCTGAATCTGGTGGTACGTCACCCTCTTCCTCTCCTCCTCGGTCTCCTAACTCCTCCCCCAGATCCTCTCTCCCTCCACCTTTTCCCCTTTGTGCAGGTGATTGGTTTCAGTCGCCTTGGCTGTGCTACTAGATGGTTCATCCACTTGCTTTGCTGGATGAAGCACTCGATGATGATCTTGAGAATGATATCATAGACTTCTTAGCTCGATGTCAGGATAAAGATGGTGGATATAGTGGTGGACCTAGATAGGTTGCTCCAATCTCAAAACCTTTTGAGCCCCACACTTTTGAGCATAATATCTTTGATTTTGCTATTTGCATTGATTTTTTAGATAAGATTTTAGATTTATGCAGTGTATGCATTAGTCTTGGATATGTCCAATGAAACACTGAGGACATATATGTTTGCTGTTGCAATCACATTAAATATTTGAATCCCTCTTTAGCTCACACGGTTGTAATTGTAACATTTTTAATTGATATTAGCATGTCCATGTAACAAACAAAATACGTGCCAGTGACGATGGGCACTATGCTTTGGATTTGAATACTCAAGGTTGTCTTTTTTGAAAGCAAAGCACATTATTGGGTGCTTGATTTAGCCTTCTCATTCATTTAGCATAAGTTGTTAACCAGAAATCTTGTTTGTTATTGATTTATAAAGTTAGTTTGAGTTCATTTATGTTGAGTCATTCAAGAGGGTAAATTGTAGTTTTTAAGACATTCTTTTGTCCACGGCCTTTGTAGTTGCCTCACCTAGCTACGACTTATGCTGCCGTAAATACACTTGTGACAATAGGGAGTGAAAGAGCATTGTCATCAATCAATAGGTAAATCTCATGGTTGCTCTAAAGCAAGATCTGCTTTACATGAGTTCTTTTGTTAATAATGTTAACCTTGTTGGTCAGGGACAACCTGTACAAGTTTATGTTTCGGATGAAAGATGTATCAGGTGCTTTCAGGTACGCAACCTATCAGCATGGATAATGTATAGAGACCACTTTCTCATTTGTAGCTCTTTCTGAGGTGATGCCTGCCACTCATTTTTCCTTTGCCCTAGAATGCATGATGGTGGTGAAATTGATGTTCGTGCTTCCTACAACGCTATATCGGTGAGTTTCTTGTGGTCCTTCATGACTTTTCTGCAGTTACTTGATATTTCCTGATGTTGACCTTAGGTTGCCAGCCTTGTGAATATTCTTGATGTTGAACTGGCAAAAGGCGTTGGTGACTTCATAGCAAGGTTTTGTTTGTGTTATATAAATGCATTTTTTTCAGTTGCAAAAATTGTTGCTTGGTCACAGTTCTTTTCTAGAATGTTGCTCAATTGATATACTATATGACTGCAGTTGTCAAACTTATGAAGGTGGTATTGCTGGGGAGCCTTATGCTGAAGCACACGGTGGGTATGTTTCTGAGGATTTCTGTAAAGTTCCAAATTTATATGTTAAGAACATTAACAAAAGTTGCTTTCATAAGGTATACGTTCTGTGGATTGGCTGCTTTGATCCTGCTTAATGAGGCAGAGAAAGTTGACTTGCCTAGCTTGATCGTAAGACAACCTCTTCCTCCCTTAGTTTATTTAATTTACTTCTATAATTATGATGTGTTTTGTGTATCAGACCATGAAGTTGTTCTTTTAGGTCCTTTGTGTATCAGACCATGATGTGTTTGACGCCTTCAAGACATTCCATAACATTGAAGTAAACTATAAGTTAATACACTATCTTTGCAAACCTTATTTGAAGTCAAAGATGGACAATCTTGGAGCATACTGATTTTGCCATCTTGACAGTAATACATAACTGCCACAAAACTATTTTCTCATTCAACGTTGCATAATGGCAATATGATAGGATGCCCTGCAGTGCTTTTTTTCTCATTCAACTGTTGACCACTTATTCTTTCAGTGCTCCATTGTCAAAGTAATCTGGATGGTGGTAGCAAAATGTTTTGGTGCAAACAACATTCCTTGTAACTTACAACAATGTTGGTTCTGGTGTGAGAAGTGGTTGCCATTTGGTAAGAAGTTCCACCCATGGGGTGTTGGCGCTATCTGTTGGGCCATTTGGAAGAGTAGGAACAAAGCATGTTTTGAAAAGAAATTGATAAAAAATCCTTTAGAGATAATCTGCCATGCATATGCGCTAATGAAATTTTGGTCACTGAAATGGATCAGGACCAGTTAGTGGAAGGTGCCAATAGGGTGCTGCGCGTGGCGAAAGAAGTCTTGGCGTCTTAGACCGCACGACAGGTGAATCAACTCCTTCTGCATGATACTGATGTAACTGAACATGATGAAGACACAGCTTAGAGGTGATGACTCATGAGGCGGGTGGAGGAGGATTGTGTCCACTTAGATGCAGTCCCCAAAAGTTCAGGATGTTGTTGATGTCTGTCAGAATTCAGTCTTTTTTAGTATCGTTTTGATGGGTGCTGGATTGCTTCTGTAATCTTTTGGCTGGCAACTGTATGCATGTTAAAACTTGGCTGCTATATATATATATCAAGTTGGTGTATGTATGGAAGATCTAATATATTATTTATACAAAAATCAAGTGAATTTGTTCAATGTGATGCCTTCTATATGAGCAAAAGTGGATTTGTCAAATTATTTTAATTGTAATTATATCTATGCAGTTTTGTCGACAGTTTTTTTGGCAGGGTATGGTTTTTAAAATACCTTGGAAATGGTTTGGCCAACATACAAACTGTCGGCAAAGGTCTTAACTGTCGGCGTAGGTCTTAACTGTCGGCAAAGGGTTAACTGTCGGCAAAGGTTTCAACTATCGGCGTAGGTAGACCGTTTGGCTACACATAAAGTGTCGGGGATTCTATCAACTGTCGGCAAAAGTTTCGCCGACGGCTTCTAGCGCAACTGTTTCTAAACTGTCGCCAAAACTTTTCGCGGGAGGTTATCTGTCGGCAAAGGTGCCCTTTGCCTACAATAGAAAGTGTCAGCAAAAGTATGTTGTGTTATAGTGTTGGCACGCGCTGGTATCGAGATTGTTGACCAGGACCTTTGCCAAGTTACATCGCTGTACCGTTCTTGCTATAAAATACTCTCCTTGGAAAATGTTCTGGTGTTTGAACGGGAAATCCACAACGGGTTGATGAAATAGTGTTCTCTCAAGGTAAACAAGAGAATGTGATTTTTGAGGAAGCATGTATGTCGCGATCTCAGTTCGTACAAAAGGTTGGCACCTATTGTGGTCAAGGAAAGGAAGAACACCAGGAAAAAGTTAGCCTTGGGTAGTAGGGAGTGCTTGAAAAAGCCTGAGTGGATGTCAAGTCCCAAGCTCTGTGTCCAGCGAGACCACGCTGCACACGATGGTCACTATTACTACATATCATATGGACGTCGTCTGTGTCGGGCCCATTAGCAGCCTGTTCTCGCATGGCCACGACATCATGCTGCACTCACCGTCCTCGTGTACTATGCGTTTACCCTTCTATCGGCTCTCGATCCCACGCCCTCGTTCTTGTACCGGACCCCCCTCCCTCCTTTTGCTTCTTTTGGGGACATGATCGCCCGCACGCCTTCCCCACCGAGCGAATCCCCTCCCCTCTCCCTTATCCTCCCTCCGCTCGCTCGCACAGGGAGCGCACCATGGTCGACCTTATCCCCACAGCGTGAACCATCAGTGTTTCCCTTCCACACCGCCTCCACTTCCGGTGCACTGGGCCCCACCTCTGTTCGCCATTATAAGATGCCCTTGGCCTTTGCTCTCCTTCTTTGTCCCCATCCACTCGAATCTGAAGTAGAGCTACGAGATCCAATCGAGGAACTAGGTTCGCTAGCCAGAGGTGATTGGGTAATCTAAGAAGCAGGGATCTGGTTTCATCGAAAAAGTTCAAGTCTACCATTGGTTAATTGGTCTTAGGGTTTACGATGTTTGAGTTCTCAGTCTCCTGTTTCTGGATCTCTTGGACATACGCCATGTTTTGGATAATCATTTTCTTGTTGTTTCTCCATTGTCCTCGTCTATCTTGACTTCCGTATTAAGCCTTGGTGGTATTAGGTTGCTCTTAACCATGTATCTCTAAATCCCTATATGGTTTAGTGTTCGATGTAGTGTGGTCTTTCGTGTGGTTTCAGATTTACGAAGTGTAATCGTATTTTTTCCCTTCGGATTCGTGTTTCAAATCTTGGGATGAGATTTTGTTTAAGGAGGGTAGAACTGTAACACCCTCGGTGTTATGCCCTAAACCAACTACTAAATCATGTCACGAGCATTATGTTTATGTGTTAATGCATGTGATAAAGTGTGTAGATCAATTTCTGTAACTCAAAACGATCAACATAAATGCGAAATGAAAGTTAATTCAATAGTCATGTTATATCACTTTAGGTTGAAAACTAATTTTTTAAGCAAAAATGCTATGAAACATATATGTGATACTTAAATAAAGTTGAAGTACAACCTTTGTAGATGGCAATGAAATACTTGCGGTTGAAAAATGATATTACTAGCTAATAGTTCCACTAGCTTAGAAATCGCAATTGGAAACCAAAACCAGCTCAAACACTTAGAAATTTTCAAGTTTGTCAACGGCTGGACATTGCTATGTTTAGCAATTTATTTTGAGGAATCGGGTTTAGGTGTGATGTAGTGTTGAAGCCCGATTTGGTAGTCTTATATATTGTTTGGAGTGTAGTGAAGACCATTTAAGTTTAGGACCAACGATTTAGTTGCGGTGAGAGCTTTAATATTCGTGCACGATATGTTCTCGGGAGAGTTCGCCGTGTGCGCGCGGTCACCGTGCCTCGGGGGCGTGTCACCGCCGCATCGGTGCGCTCTACGCGCGCACGCGCGTTGCCGCGCTTGGCCGGCCACGGCTGCCCTGTCTTGGCTGCCTTGGCTCGACTACGTGGAGCCGTCGCTGCTGCCGCTCGCATGGTGGGGTGGCGCTGCCCTGCTCCGTGCGCTGACGCACCGCCACCACCTCGTGCCACGCCGCAGTCACTACCGCTGCAACCTCATTCGTCGAGCTCGCATCTGTCTATTGTGCCTGCTCCTCATCGCTAGCCCAGTTTGATGCCGCACGCACATGGCCCGCTCGCCATCGCTTGCCATTTATGGCACTGCGGCCGCGCGGGCCATGGCTGATTGGGGACATGCACGTTGTCCGTAGCCCCTACGCGGGTACATTTGCATCGTGTCACCCGCGTCCTGCCGAGCCAAAGTAGTGCCGAGACTACCCGCCGCGCCATCACTTCTCTCTCTCCCTCTCCGCTACTGCTGTTGGAGCTACGCCCATGTGGTTAGCCAGCGAGGGATCACCTCCCCTCAATTCAGCGTGTCTGTAGTTCAGTCATCACACCTATTTGCTATCCGACCCTACCAAGCCATGATGGAGGCGCTGCCAAGCTCCAATTTTGGAGCTTTCCCTCCGACGTGCCATTAAGGCCAGGTTGGCCGTGCCCGAGGGCAACCAACCACCGCACCATCCCATGCCCAGGCAACTGCGCCATGAGCTTTGCCTCCACCTCCACTGCACCCCACGCTCCTCGCTTGCACCTTTACCACCTTGTCGGTGCTGCTGACGCGGCCACGCCATCGCAGAGCGCCGCCGCCTCTCGCTGGCCGCACGTGGTCAGTCCTGCTCAGGGTATTTCTGACTAAACCATCACCGCAGCCGTGACCAGGGTAAGCTAGTGATGCTCTCATGCTAGCCAGTAGTGGCGCGGTGGTCTAGGGTGGCTAGTACGGTCGCGCCACCGTTGCATGCGACCGCTCACCGTGGTCGTCACTCCCACAAGCTCCGCCGCTACCGTAGCTTCGGCTAGTGTAGGCACTTGGGCTGTAGGTGCAGGTCGGCCCGCTAGCTAGGCCAGGGCGGGTCCTGGTTGGCTAGCATGGCCGTCCAGTGCCACGTCCGCCGCGCCGGAGTGCGCAGGGGTGCCCAGGGACCTCCCCGATGCGAAGGTGAATTATTACAGGGTCATTAGTGCATGATTGTTGACCACGTGAATAGCTCGCATAGTGGCCGCGTGATTTCATTTAAGCGTGGGCTCCCCCGCGCGTGGGCCGCGTCCGGGCTGTTCGCGCCATCTTGGGCCGCGAGGCCAAATTGCCTTTTCTTTTTCCTAAGAAAATAGAAATAGTCTTATATTTTACATTCTAACCTAAATTTTAGAAATTAATATCAATTCGCTTAGATGTCCAAAAATTATGAAGCAAATTTTGTTAGGTTCCTAAAATCATGACCTATCTGATAATGTATTTTGTTCACTTAGTTTCATAGAATTTTCTAGAGTAGAGTAATTAATTTGAAGCACTTAAAATGGGTAAAAGAAGAACTGGTATGAATTATTGTGATGAATTAGTAGAAGTACTGGCCCCGAAATTTTTATAGTAGATTCCTAACGATATTAGGTGCTCACTGTAATTTTTGTAGTTACATAGGAATTAGTTTGTTAAGTTAACTAAATGAGCCCTAGTCCGAAAATACATAGTTATCAATCAATTGTCAAAAATAATTGAAGGTTTGTAGAACGAAAATATTTTTCGAAACAAGCATTACTTGACGACGTGGAAACGTAGACTAGTACGTTAGTCATTAAGCTAGCTCGTTAGCTCGCGGAGCGTAATCATATTATAGAGTTGTTGTTACCATTGATTAATTGCGTCTCGGCGTTGCATCCACGTATATCATAATGGGAACAACGATGGATCGTGGAGTTGACCGAGGTAGCGGAGAAGATGGTGCCTTGATGATCGTGTCACCATGATGGAATGCTAACTTTTGGTTATATCTTGCCCAGACAAGCCCC